TTCGGCGCTGCAACCTTGACATACTTTTTAAGAAAAATTAAACATTACTTTGAATTGGCCATGAATTTTGAATGAGAAGAGATAGGTCTTTTAATAGTAAAATGTGTATGACCCGTGAGAAGACCTTTCTAAGAAAAAACTATGATTTTTGACCGCGTGACATAGACCTTAAAATTTGACCTACTTTTCAAAAATATAAACCTTGGTCATAAATTCTGAGTGAGAAGAGATAGGACTTCAATATTAAAACTTTTGATTGTCGTGACAAGACAATTCTAAATACACTTATATAATTACCGACAGACAATTGGATGAAACAAGAGTATCAGCAGTCTTGTTTAAAGTCATCATTTCGTAAGTTCTGTGGTCGCGCAGTACAGTTAAGGTGCGCAATGGAAATATCGACTAAATTTTGTATTTAAAAATGTTTTCGTCATCGGATTGGCAATTATTTTTAGTACATTATTTATATTGGATAATTGTAATTATGATTAATAACTACATTACGAGGACCATTATATTTTATATTTAGACTAGTCACGTGATGCGGCAGTCACGCGATTTTAGCACATTGACTTGGAGTATTGATGTTACATATAAATATCACTAGTGCAAGGGCACAACCAAGTTAAATTTCCAATTTTAGTAAATAAATATTTTCAACACGCATTGTAGTTTCTAAAAAGTGCTGCGATCCTGTCAAAATTCTGCAATTTCATTTTTAAAATTATACTTGTATGACCGAATGCTTTATTTTTTGCTGGTCAGCGGCATGAAATATTCATATAATTAAATTGTTTTTAAGATTTCATCAGGATCGCAGCACTTTTCAGATACCTTAATAGTTCTATAGTTGAAATGTAAAAGCTTACTTTCATCCAAAGAGTGTATATACTTGCACTACATCGATTTTTTAAGACCCCTCACATTACCCTCCGATGTACTTGCATACAAATATACGGCGGTGTCAATTAAATACGTAATGTATAGAAAATATATTAATAAAATAGTGAAGAGGACATTAATTTCAAGTTATTGGCTCATAGAATATTTGTAAATAATATTTTATTTAATTAGAGAATACATATTTTGTTGAGAAAATATTACTTGATCTGTCTCTCACTGCATACAAACAACGTCACGTTGTCATGACGTCATATTGACAAGATTATTGCGATCAGTGACTTGCTTATAACTTGTTATGTGGGGATATAACTAACGACAAAACAACACACTGTAGTAAGTTTTTATGTAGTTTGATGATTTCTTACTGGTTAAATTAGCAGATAAACTCATTTGGTGGTATTTTAAAGAAATGATGTATGACGTATATTGTGTATGATGTCATAGTCAAGTTTTCCCGTACAAATTAGGCTCCGCCTCCTTTTTGTAACCTTAACTGTGCTGCGCGATACGATGTTCTTGTCAACAAATACAATTTAAATGTCAGTCCATTATTTAAACACTTAATTGACAACGGATTTTTCCGTAATTTCCCGATAATGATAAGGAGCACACGGTGCGTTTGACCGGTCGGCAACGAATGCTTACTCCTCCATGGCACCTGATCCCACCTCTGGTGTTTTGGTAGTTCATGTTTGCTCTGCTCCTATTTTGTATTGCTGTATGACTATTGTTCTTGAATACTGATCGCTATCTCCATATATTTCATAATAGAACGATCTTTAAACAAAAATTTATCACAGAAACCCTTTTAACATTTATTAAAAACTTGCACCTTCACAACTTAACTCAACGTGTCATCTATAAAGACTTTTCAGAAAACTGTCATGCAAAACAAATATGCATCCAAATGTATTGGGTAAGTTGCAAATGATCACTTAACCGGAAAACCGTTCTATCATATACCTATACTTAACACAAACTGGTAATATATACCATCTATCTTTTGATAATTTAAACATATTAAACATAAAATTCTATTTGAAAGGAAGTTATCACATGTATTGAAGAGAGTTTGTATTCCAAACACAGTTATTTAACCTCTTTATACAATAAATGAATCCGAATATCCATGCAGATTGAATATCAAACATTTAATCGATGCAAAATGCGGCCTTATTGGAACTTCCTAAGGAAAATCACGAAGTAATAAGTTTTTAAATTTATAAATCGATTCCAGATTTTAAATGCGCAAATTTCTTCCTGTGCAGAGTATGGGTTGTGGGTTCTGAACACAGGTCAGAGAAGTTCCGTAAAGTCTTAGTTACGGAAAGTGTAGAATTTTTTTGGCTTGAGGAATAAATCATCGTTCAATGGCGATTGTTCACATCTAGCAGAACCTCGTAAGACATCGACATGTGCAACAAGAGTGTCAACTTGTGAGAAGCTGTTTGAGTACCTTTCAGCAGAAACTCGCCAACCGTTCATTAGCGCACCTAATGTTATTTTTGCTTTCCCATCCCCCTTTCCCTCTCTCAAATATCAGGGCATTTCGAACGAGATTCACCGTTCACGGTAGCTCAGTCGGTAGAGCGCTCGCTCCGTGATCTGGAGGTCGTGAGTTCGAATCTCGGCCGCGACCGACCTACGTCGATAAAAAATGAGTAGCAACTGTTCCTTCCCCATGCACTCGCCACTTTGAAGTGAAAGTTGCGGGTCCTTCGGATGAGACCTAAAAACCGAGGCCCCATGTCAGCGGCAGGCGATGGCACTCTAAAGATTCCTCACTGCTAAATGGCCCTGAGTGCCTAGTAAAGGTGAAAATTCACCGGCATACGTGAAAAATTCTCGAGAGGGACGTGTAACAAAATACAATAAATCAATCGAACGAGATTCACGTCTGGATGCGATAGGAAACATCAACGTCGTAATATTAGCGTCCCGGAGTTCGGAGAGGCTTGGTGCCCACAACGCCAAAGTACTCCTTTAACCTCTTTCCTTCAAACGTCTTGTCGTTAGTCACAGTATCTAAACTGGCGTCCACTGACAGGGCTTCGGGTCTTCCTTACGCTTTTCCTGTGTCCTGTTTGGTAATGGAAAACTCCCTATGACTAATCAATGATGTTTTAAAAAAGTCAAACGAAAGAAGCAAATCTACGACATATTCTATTTGGGATAAAATTGTGTCATACAAAACGTATCCTGCAGAAATATCCAGACTGACAAATTGGATAAGTTAACAGTAAAAAATTGCGTCTTTAAATCTTGTTATCATATACATTGTTTATGTGCTATTATGTTTTATGAGTAGTATATTAAATTTCAAGGTCCGTTAACTTTTGCATGTTAAACAATTTGACAGACTTTTAATCATTTTGTTCTATTGTTGACAAGGATAGGCGTAAAGATTCCTTTAGTTTCTGTGTTGTATGACTGCAAATTGGTCAACAATGATTAAAGTTCTGAAATAAAACATATGGAGATAACGAACAGTTCTCACGATCGAAGTCCATAAAACAATACAAAATAGGAGCAGAGCCAACAGGGACCTCCAAAACATCAGCGGGATCAGGTGCCAAGGAGGAGTGAGCATTCGCTGTTGACTGGTCACACCCGCCCTATGCTCCTTGTAATGATCAGAAAATAACGAAAAAAACGTCGTCAGTTCAGTGTATGAAATAAAGCAACGAAATGCAATGTCTGATTTTTATTCGTTATTCATTAACGATTTCCGTATGAAGAAACATTTTTGGTTATCAAAAAGAAAGTCCTGGTCCAAGGATCATGAAAAATACTTAGACTTAAGTCAAATTTTCAATCGCCTGTAGAATGCTTATTTTCTATCAATTAATCCCTTACTTTGAAGATAACAACACCTCTGTAAAGCAATAATATTAAAAAGTTTGATTTTGGCCTGTTTGACTTCTACAATATTTTAATGCAACAGAAAAATTTTGACTTAAGCTTTAGATGTTTCATGATCCCTGGGGCCTGGTTTTATAAGATATACTTATGTACTGATACTTTTCATTTCAGAAGGATAAACATCATCATTAATGTTTTCCGGGTTGTACATCAAATGTAACATTCCATGTTTCCAGTAATTCACACTGAGAATGTAAGATATATGGTAGCATAAAAAGGTTTTGTATCATTCAAAATGTACAAATATCTTATTATCGACCAGTAAAATCAAATATATATTTTATATGCACTAATGCCCTGGGTTGTATTTAAAAGGGGATTGATTGATTATATATTGTTTAACGTACTTCTCGATAATTTTTCACTCATATGGAGACGTCACCGTATGCCGGTGAAGGGCTTCAAATTTAGACCTATACTCAGCACTCAGGGCCATTGAGCAGTGAGGGTTCTTTATAGTGCCAGCGCCTACCGTGATACGGGACCTACGTTTTAAGATCATATCCGAAAGACCCGTGACTCTCACTTCCGATGCCGGGCGCTTGGCGAAGGAACAGTCACTACCTATTTTTACGCCTTAGGTTTGACGCGGCGCCGCGAACGAGAATCGAATCCGGGCCTACCGATCACGAAGCGAACGCTCTACCACTAAGCTACCGTGAACGGTTTTTAAAAAGGAAAAGAAATATCTACGTTTACTAATTTTCTTACTCCCTTTAGGTGATTTATTTACTATAAGTGCTGTCTTACAACAGGGAATGAAGTTTTTCTAACATATTCTTAGATTTCAAAAAAAAAAATCTTTAGTCTTATAGCACTTTTGATTTTTTTTCTCATAGTGTGTATTTAAATCCCACACGAAATTTTATTTGACTTTATATTGGATAGGGTTAATTTTCAAACAACGAAATTAAATGCCCACGAAATTATGTTTGATGGCAGAACAACGATATTTTATGCCCACGAAAATTTGTGCTTCTACAGTATTTATGATAAATCAAACGCCATTTTAAAATCATATGTAATTAACAAACAGTATTGAAGCTCAAAAGTCCAGTCAAGCTATACAAATCAGGAGCAGAGCATAAATGAATCTCTTAAATAACAGAGGTGCAATGGAGGAATGAGCATCCAGCCATGTGCACCTTGAAATGATCGGGAAATATACGGGAAAATTCATCAACAAATTAATGGGAGACCTAACAACTAATATGTAAAACGTCAGTCAGGAATCGAATCGATGATAAATTGTATTTGCTGACAAGGTCTCTCTATCGACCATAGAACTTTCGGAATTACTTTAAAAGCGGTTTCTGATATTCTTGTTTCATCAATATCTCTGTTAGTAATCTACCTCGTTTTGTAAGAAATTGCACATACAAAAATCATGCTCTTGCGTACATACACAGAACATGTTCTAGCGTATTGAGTCAACTGAGAGAGATTAATCACGTATGCTGGTGCTAAAAGCATATTGCTGTATAAGTAAGGGGAGTTGACGATTGAAAAGTTAAAGTCATCACGTTTATCATTAAGTTTGGTAGTCAGATCACCATTGAGGTATTTTTCAAAAGAATTATCTAAATAAGAAACAGATGAGTCAGACTTTGTGGTATATATTATTTCAAGCTCACAGGAATATATGGTATCAATATCAGAATGGAAATAACAATTGTTAACAATACGTCGGTGATATATCTAAATATTGAGTTTAATGCCTTAGCAACGTTTTTCTGTTCACGTATAAGATTTCGACAAATTCCTCTGCATTTGATAAAGAAATACATCAGCTGATAACGGGGCGCAATTGGTCCCCACGGGAATTCCAAAAGATTGTTGGAAGACATAGTCTCCAAAAACCACATAGATAATGTCAAACAGAAACTCGGACATCTTTTAATATCATCTTCAGAATTACGGTACCTGTGTGTACATTCAATTTCTTTTAACAAAATAATTCTAATGTTTTCAGTAGGAATTATACAGAACTTGTTCTCATATCATTTAACGAGAGGTTTCGATAAATGTCGACGGATTTAGCTCCTCGTAAACATGATTCTCAACATGGCAATCAGAGGTTGATCTTCGTTGAGTACCCTCTCTGTCACTGATCTCATAAGAAGGTTGGTCATTTTTCTCTACAGTTTTCTTCTTTCTGAAGTGAATAATACTTTATTATTAGTTTCAAATCATAATATGATTTGAAATCTTGTACAAATATAAACAAAATTGAATTTAAGAATTATAAAGAATTTCTTTAAAAAGACCCAAATTACATACCGTATAAGGAGAATTTTTAGCGAGGATTTAATTTTGGCATTATTAGCGAGGGTCCTGAGATCGCTAAAATTAAATATCGCTAAAAAATAATTACATTTTATTTGTAAAAGCTTCTTTAGTAAGCATTTAAAAATCGCTAAAATTACCTCTCGCTAAAAATAAATTACCATTTTTTAAGGATAAATCGCTAAATTTGCGTCTCGCTAAAATTTCCAATTATACGGGTATATATATTCTACAATCCACTGAAGAATCTATATTCAATCTTATTGTGAAACCTAGTATGTTTTTCTTTTAGAGATAAACATACCTGAAGATACGAAGTACTATTAAGAATAAGAGTCCGACATTCAGCATTAATGAAATTACTAATCCTGCTGTAAGTCCATCAGCTTTGTCTCCTTCTTCCATATATGATCCTTGAAAACCGACTGTTAAAGCACATGGGAGAATATATAGAAATACATGAATGTTAGTTGTAACGCGTCATTTGTTTGGATAAAAAAATAATCTATATTGTATAGCCTGGGTTGCCAAAGTCATAATGATTAACGTCAAAAAAGTTTCAATCTGTTTGACGTTACATTTAAAATTTGACTCAATTTGAAGGCGTTTTAAGAGAGAAATTGTCTTGCTTTTTGTATTTAGATACTTAGTAATTGAAAATTATAAGGAATGAATTATACATTATTTATTAGCAACGTACATTTTACTGGAAACACCTGGGTTGGAGCGGTTTATAAACAGTAAATTGCCCCAACCCAGGTGTCACAGTATAACTAGGACTGCTATTTACTTTCTTCGGCATATATTTTTAGAATAGATGACTGGTCAGTTGGGGAGAGGCGGCTCACTTCTCCATGGCACCTGATCCTACCTCAGATGTTTTGGAGCTCAATGTTCACTCTGCTCTTATGTTTGATTGTTTATGGACTTTTGATCTTGGGTGCTAGCTGTTTGTTATCTCAATTTTTTTTAATTAGTTATGCGCGGGTTCTCCATGAACTGTAACAACGCGGTAACAATTTAAATTTTCTTCGTGTAACACATTTAAAATTTTGCACTATGTAAATATCTTTGAGAAACAAAAAATCAGGAACTCAGATTCCTTCTTAACAAAATAATAACTAATTATATCATTCATTTCATAGTCTCAATTCAAAGCATTTAATTAGTATGCTATTTATTGGGACTCATTCACTGGTTTCATCAAGCATTGTCAATTTCTTTTCTTTTCTTTCTTTTCTTTTTTTTTTTCTGCACTTCTAATATATTTGTATTGTTTATAGTTTCTTTTAGATTTATCACTGATCGTTATCTTCACCTTCTTTATTTTTAAGATTAAGAGGACATATTCACTGTTTTGGTGTGCTTCTCGTACCTAATTTGTATTGTTGATCACAGCGTTTCCCTCGGAATCCTTCAATGCAGCCCCAGAGACAATGTCCATTGATGTGGTAGCAGGTATCGTTGTTAACACAGTTTCCACTACACTCCTCTCCACAGTCTTCTCCATACGTACCAGGTGGACACACTGAGGTTATAATAATACAAAAATATAAAAGTATCAACATGTGCTGCATTTTATCCTTTTAAGAGCGATTCTCTGTAATCACCAAAGTAATTCTGATAGGTCTGGCATGCATAGTCTCAGATTTGAATAAAACTTATCCAGGGTTAAAAAAGCAACAATTATATATATAATGGTTTTTATTTATGGAAACAAGTATATAAAGTAACCATATTTTCTTACCCTCCCTCTAACCCTTAATTGGTTTCTACGACCATAAATTGTCAGAACAAATATGTTTGTGTAAATGTGTGCAAAGGATAGAAAATAACGAGTGTATTTGAATACTTCGCCAATACGTATGATGTCAATACATGTATCATTTTATTTTATTTGGACTTTGTTCCTGTTCTATTTCACCTCTTGTTTAATTTTCTTCTCCCTTTTTTGTTATTCATATATTCATCATATAATTGTAATTTTTAATTGTTATGAATACCTTTTTCCAAATTTGAACCGATAGGTTTACGCTATGAATAAAAGGAATGGTTTCCAAATATTCTTGCTAAAATGTGTATTTTTAAAACGTTACATTCTTAACATTCGTCTTTTAACTCCACATCTCATATTATTATATTCATATAAAAATACAGTGAAACAATCTCTCTCTCCCCCCCCTCTCTCTCTCTCTCAAAGTTTTAAATGTATAAGAAGGAACATCTATATTATTTTTAAAAAGTTTTATTCTTATCAGATTTTTGTATATCTCCAATATTAATAAAAATATTTTGAGTTTACATCTATTTTTAAGCGGTTAGCTTCGCTAACCGCTTTATGGCATGTATCGACAACGGAAACTTCCATAAGGCGCTACCTATCGACAAAGCCTCTACCTATAATTTTTTCTAACCCATATAACATATGCTAATTAAAATCAAGACTATCAAAACAACATAATCTTTCGGTTTTTCTTTTTTCTCTGATTTTGTTTGTCAATGAAATAAATTTATAATTTTTGTATTAAAAACGTTTATGTATAGGAGCATTTGGTGTCGAGATTAAATTTCCGTGACGTCAGCTGATGGCGATCGGGCCCTGTGACGAAATTCGAAGTCAGCATGAAGTTTAGCTGATAACATTATCAACGCGTTGGATTTAAGCTTAAGGAAGAAATATATAGCGAGAAATATCATATTTGAACCCAATGCTACACGAAAACCTGTAGGCATATCCGATTTATATGTTGAATTGAAGCCTGAATCGAACAAGGGGTCAAAATGGCGTTGCACACGTCGAGTATTTATACTTTATATAGAGGGGATAGACTGTTTCGATATTTGGCTAATTTAGAGACTTGCTGATAAAAATTCAGGTGCCTGTGATAAATTATAAGGCACCCCTCATGAACAATAAATATTTGACGGAATTATGCTACTGACACAGGGAGGACGGGTTAATTACTGGCTAAAGGGGTTGAAGGTTATTACCGACTGCAAAACATCGGAGAATCTCTCGATCGAGTTTCCTTTTTCTTTGCTGAAAAATTAAGGCTTCCCTTAATACTAGTAAATGAAGGAAGCCTTTATACAAAAAAAAAAACAAACTGAATACATCTGTAAGATGTACAGTTATGGATTACTTCCATAATGAAACATTTGTTTTCTTCTCCTTTTTTTCTCAATTGAAATTATTTGAAAGCTTTGATTCAAGGGAAAAATTCTGTCCTCAGTCTAATTATTACAAACGATTATAAACGATCACATTTTTATTTAAATATTTGCCGACTTTTTTAAAATAATTGTCATATACCATTTACTTATTCGAACATTTAATTGTATGAAAAGTTAATAATGTACATTTCTTAAAACTTTATTATCTTGTTTACTTGTCTATCTTCCTGTGAGAGAAATAGTATATAATATTAATAAACAGATGTACTCAGTATCTGTATCAAAATACAGAATAAACAGTGATAGGTGTCAAAATAAAAACGGATCCTTGAAAGTTCCGGTGCCTAGGAGAAGTAAACATTCCCAATAACAGGTCACACTTGCTGACCTGCAGTGAGCCAAAGAAACTGAAGCTCTCTGAAATTAATTAATTTACAAATTCTCTGCTCGTCCTTCCGTTTTTCTCAGACTAGCCAGCTAAAGATCTATGTACACTCCAAATAAATTAATCTAAAGAATTTGAATTATCATTTAATATTCTTTTTGAGTTGTTTGCTATAGTAGCCTTTATAGTTACCTAAGAAGATGGTATCGGTTTCCAGACAAATTTTGCCCTTTAATTTTCTAAAAAATAAAACTGGTGTAAAAGTTAAAAACCCATGCTTTTAAAATAATTGAAATTCAATGCAGAAAAATCGTACAAGTCTTTTTTTTTTCTCACGATTGTGTTTTTAATTGTTAATTATGACGTCATAAACATTTGCATTTTCCTGTATTTTTTTTAAAAGTTCCAGAAGACACCAATTTTCAATGGAGTTTTCTTTCAGATAACATTGTCCACAGGCATCGCCCACAAAGAACTTGAGATATGTGATTTGTTACTTAATTTTGCACAAAATATAAAAAAAAATAACGTGGGCGACGGCTGTGGACACTGTTTTCTAAAGGAAATCACCCTTGAAATTTGCCATTTTGAGGCTTTTTCTGTTCAAAATAGAGAAATGCTTCACTTTAATGACGTCATATTTGCAGAATGGTAAACGTTCATGGCATATTCTTTCCTGATTTATCAGTCATTTATTTAACTAATATTTAAGCCAGTTTCAAAACTTTTTGATTTCATAACATTTTTAGGGCGCAATAAAGCTAAAACCATACCTTCTTCTTTCAAAATCAATAGAGCATGAACGACAATTAAATTTGCAACATCAACATTTTTTTTCTCGTTCTGAGCACTTTTGGACGCCACCAATGGAGACAATTAGGAAGAAAATTTTGACATTGAACTTCCTGTCTTTCAAACTGAAAATCTCAGGTTGATATTTTGAAACATACATTTGTGACATCAGTCTGGGATGTTATTGGTTTTACCATTAAGTTAAGTACAACAAAAGTCAGTGTGTCTGCTTCTTCGCTGATGATATTGGACAAAGATATGCATGCTTACTTTAATATCATCACTTAATGCATCTTTTGTTATTCTACTTTGTACAGTCATATTCCATAAAAGCATGCTAACCGCTTGTCAGTACTTTCAGTACTTTGATTTTTTAAAGTTACAGTATCTTTAAATTTTGTCCGTGTTATAATATTTACAAGTAACCCCTACCCAAAATAAAAAGAAAGAACATCATTTTATAAGTAAAATGTCTTCCAACGAAACTTTTGTCTAGTTTACTCAAATTCAAAATAATTCTCGTTTAATGTAATTAGACATACCTTCGGAACAATTAATGCCAACCCATCCTTTTTTGCATTTACAGAGACCATTGACTTTATCACATATATCATAGCAGTTTAGAGAACACATCCGCGAACAATTTTCGCCAAAGGTTCCCGAGTCACATGCTAAAAAATTCAATAACAAATGAATCAGTGAATTCATAAATGTATAAACAACAATGTTGATATGTTATGAAATGAAACATTTCTTTTGCAAAAAAGAAGGAATGCGTCATATTTGAAGGCTGCGTTCCGATTCATCAGAAAACTTACGTGCATCACATTTCTCGCCTTTATATCCTGCCTGACATCCGTGATTACAATAACCGCTGACATAGTGACATGTTTTAATGTTCAAACAATTTCCACTGCATTTCTCTTTACACATAATACCATATGTTCCATTACTACATTCTTGGATAAGATGAATATAAAGTACATGTAATGTTGTGTAAAAAATCAATTAAATTTCTTTTTTCAAAACATAGAAAACAAAACATAAATGTTAGATTAAAATCTCAGCATAAATCAGTATTTCCTTCCTTAAAAATCACTATAATTAACTTTAGTTTAGTATAGTTAACTATAGTTAACTATAGTCAATCGCAGTGTCAAAGTAATCACTATGGTAAATCAAAATTTTCCTAGTGACCATTAAAGCGTCAAAGTTATCATTAAAGTAAATCAAAATTTTCAAAGTGTTCACTAAAGTGAATCAAAGCTTTACCATAGTAAAAGTTTTCATAGTAATCACTATAGTAAATCAAAGTTTTCATAGTTATCACTATAGTAAATCACAGTGTCAAAGTGTCCACCATAGTTAATGAAAGTGTCAAAGTGGTCACTATAGTAATTCATTTGTTTTTTATTAGTGTTAAAGTTATCACTATAGTTAACTATGGTAAACTATAGTTAACTATAGTATTTTGTTAGGGTGTAATTAGAAACAAAAAAATCACACATAGATAAGATATGTTATAGTAACACACACACACACACACACACACACACTCACACACACACACACACACACACACACACACAAACATCATGTACATTTATGCTTATAATATCGAGATATTTTTATAACTTTATCATGTTTATAATTACTTTCGAAGCATTTGTCAGTCTTCCATCCGGGCATGCAACCACTATCACAGGAGCCAGTCACGTGATGGCAGGAGTTGTTTACACAATGGCTGCTGCATATTTTAGAACAGTTTAGTCCAAATGTACCAAGGTCACAAGCTTGATAAAAGATAATAGGCAAAGATAACATTAACTTTGTATCTCAAAGACCTAAGTTTCTGTATTTTTCTTTCTCTTTTGTTAAATAAGAAACACTAAATATTAATAAAATCATAGCCTATGTCAGATATAATCTAAAACATAAAAAGAATCCATATGACATATCACATTAAAAATGCATCTAATAAAAATATGATTTTAACAGTATGTTAATATTTTACATCTTTTTTTTCATTTCAAGGAAGAAATTAGACAAAGTATTGACAATGAGTATAAATGTAGCTTTTAAGATTTTTCTTTTACATTGCATAAAGCAACATTTCCATGAAAACCTTAGTATTCAAAAAGAATATATATTCATTTATTCATTATAAATTATTTTAACTCTTTTCAAATACATTTCTTGTGGATGGATCCTTAGATAGAGGAGGGTTTAATCTCAATAAAGCTTGTAATACACTTGTAGTCTACTTTAAGATAGAGTATGCTGTGTATCATTCTCGGTTTCTTTTAATTACAATGTGCAATTATTGTAATTTATTATACCTCTATTGATAAAACTCGAATTTGATTGGCTGGTAAGAAAACTTTAAAACACAACAATGACACACAATATTTTATCAATTATCAATTCTTTCTTTGATCGGGATCGGGATTCGCTGTGTAATAAATTACAATAATAAAAATGATTATAAAAAATACATTTCATTTCGGGAATTTTCAAATGATAAAAGGAAATGTGGATGGTTAAACACGGCTTGCATTTTTGTATTTCGTTTTCTAGCAACTTCCCATTATGCTTAAGGGGGCCGACTATATTTTTATTGTGTGAAAACTAAAATAGCAAAACTCTTCATTTTTATACCATATATAACTTACATTAATTTCAGTGTACATGCAAAGTTTGGGGAAAATCTACCGACCAGGTATTTTTGAGGGACCGTCTCAAAATACAGGTACATTTACTATAGGATTATATAGGAAAATGCCAATTTTTAGCATGCACTTCAAAGCAAATTATACAAATAATACAATAGACATTTTGTTCAAACTATAATATTTTATGAGTAATACTATATGATACAATATGTAAGAAACACAAAATTCTACCATCTTGTTAGAGAGGGGGCATCTCAAAATGCAAAAAATTAGCAAATTTTACTCTTTTTATAGAGTACTACAAAATATGACGTAAACAATGGATTCACAAGAAAACATAATAAAAATATTGGAGATATTCTAAAATTTCTATGTTTTAAAATTCAAGAGCGTATGTTTATTACTTTTTCTGTAATAATATTTTTATCACCCCTTTCTTTAAGAGCTTCAGATTACCATAACGTCAAAAAGACACTGCAGCGACGTCAACCTACCTATCAATTGCAAAATCGGTTAAATAATTAGTTATATCAAATTGTAATTACATTTTATACCTATAATTGCTTAATTTTGTTTAATTTTAATAATTAAGCGAAAAAAGTTGCATTAAAACAATAAACACGCTTCAGTTTACTATGATGCGCGAAATATTGCGCAATGGAAACTATAGTCGACCCCCTTGAATGATTATGTGCCATGCATGTATGTCCTCCGGAAAATTGACAAAATAGTTGTCCAAATTTTGCTCTAATTTTAGCATGCAACTAGTCACTGATGTGTGTACCCTAATAAAATACTACTTCTACCAAAAGAGTAATTTGAAAGATATAAATCTCTCATTTAGGAGAAGTTACTATTTATGTTTACATATATATGGTTACATCCAATTTCCATTAAAAACTTTGACCTTGCCCCATTCTGTGATGCCCTTGAAATATGTGAGCGCAAGGAGATACATTTTTCCACTCTGCAATTGTCTGGTCGCTGTATTTTATCGAAATCTACCTATAAGTGAAAGGAGAAAATTGGGGGAAAAAAATTTCAAATATCATAAAATTTAGCTTGCCTTTCCCATTGGAAGCACTGACTTTTACAGCTGACGGCTTACTTTGATATTTAAGGGGGCCGACTGGGGTTTTATCGTGTGAACTCTTCATTTTTATACCATACATAACTCTAGCTATTTTTGAGGGACCGTCTCATAATACAGGTGCGTTTACTACAAGATTATATAGGAAAACGTCAAATTTCAGCACTTTAAAGCTAATTATATAAATACTACAATAAATATTTTGTTCAGATTATAATATTTGATGACTAATACTATATTGTACATTATATGTAAGAAACACAAACTTCTACCGTCTTGTTACCAGAAGGGGAATCTCAAAATTCCAAAAATTAACGAATTTTCCTTTTTTTATTGAGTACTACAAAATATGACGGGTGCAAAGGATTTATATGAAAACACAATAAAAATAATGATATTCTCAAATTTCTGTAAAAAATTTCAAGAACATATGTTTGTTATATTTTTCTGTAATAACATTTTTATTACCCCTTTCTTTGAGAGCTTCAGTTTATCATAATGTCAAAAACACGCTGAGACGATGTCGACCTACCTATCAGTTGCAAAATCGGTTTAAAAATTATTTATGTGAAATTTTAATTACATTTTTAAAACTGTAAATTCGTAATGTTGTTTACTTTTATCAATAAAGTGTAAAAAGTTGCATTAAAACACTAAATACGCTTCATTTTAATATGATGCGCGATATATTGCGCAATGAAAACTACAGTCAACTCCGTTAAAATTGTATCATGTACGGAGGTACAAAATTGATAATAGCTAAGAGACCTTTCTAGTGGTGATAGGTTATGGTGTTAGGGACATTAATATATAATGGCCTGGAGTTGAGGATAGGGCGGTTGTCTTTTCTTCATGGACAACTTATTAATGCTTTGAAATAGCCCCTTGTTTTCGTTTTTTTAAATGTTGAGCTAAATATTAAGATTGTAGAAGAGTTTCCGTACATTGTCCTCGTGTAAATGTAAGCCGTCCACTGTGAAAGTACTAGTAAGCGCTCCTCGCAAAAGTCCACAACAGAACAAGTAAAAAAAATTGTTCTGTATATTACTACTAAACAATTCTCTAACCACGAAATCAAATCCCCTTGAACCTATATATTTTCCTTAAACCACAAAAATTCGACCCGATGAAAATATGCGCTTTTACGGAGATAGCCGAGCTTCTAGTTGAAACTATAGACGTATTGTAACTTTTGACGAAATACATTTTAGAGTATTTCTTTTGGTTTTAAATTTTTTTCAAACTGAAAGCCTCTCTTGTGTAATTTCTTTATTTGCCATTATCGCATGCAATCCTGGTAGCAAAGGAATTCTGGGAAGGTTTCACACAAAAATTTGTTTGACGTGTGTACAAATATTTCGAATTTCGTTTGTTCGTACACGTTAGTCTATTGAGCTCGCTTATCTGCGCTTGCTTTAAGGATACCAGTAAGTGACTTTTAATGACGCAGAAGGTTGATAGCAGATGTTTACCTGCCTTGGTATTTTTTACAAGAAGTATAGCATGACAAATTTTGCTGATACTTACTTTCATTGCACATAATTCCCTGAAAGCCTTCTCTACATCCATCCATACATTCCCCATTAACCTTATTACAGGTTGTATTTTCAAAGCAGTTTCCACTGCATAGTTTTAAACAATTTACGCTATATGAACCAAAATCACATTCTGCAAAAAAAAAATAAATAAAAAATAAATCAATAAATAATAAACTCGAAAAAATAGAATATGTACATATCGTTTATATAAAAATGAATATTTATAGGCTAATTGTAGTCTTTTTCCCACCCTCTTTCTTCGAAAACATGCAAATAGATTATCAATTTTTATACAGATACATGTTGTAGTTATATAGAGTTAAAAAAGTATACGAAAACATTTTTATATAAATCTAGGCAAATCACTAAATAGGGGATATCCTATTTAATTGCACTTGATCCTACTTAATTTTCAGAGGTCAAAATTCGCTCTGTTATCAATTTGCTTTTGTTGTAGATTTCTGAGCATGCTCATTTTAGTTATCTTTATATTTCATGACTCTAAACGTATTCAATTATATCAAATATATGTTTATTTATCACACTAATGATGATATATTTAACATTTAATACAAATGTTGGAATGTTTATAAGGTAAAACATGTGTACAAGAAAATAATAAAAAAAAAAAAAAAAGGCAATACCACGAATTCTCACGTGTCACAAACCAGATTACGATCATCATTAACTCTATATTTCTCTATACTTCAGTTTGCGAAAAAAAAAAACACACACACACACACACACACCTTTTTTTCAATATTGTCCTTTGTCATAAAATTCTTTAATTTCGAAGAATTACTACACTTAATTTCAAGCAATAGTTGATATAAATGAGTAATGTATATGTACATCGTTTACTTGTAATACATCAGCAAAAGATCCCCTGTTTATATAAAAAAAAAATCGTTCTTTTACCTTCTTCACATTTTGAGCGTTTAAAACCCGGTACACATCCGTCATCGCAAGCTCCGCTTTCTCTGTCGCAATTTTCCTTCTTTGCACAGTTCACACTACAATTCTTTTCACAATTTTCTCCGTATGTCCCATAATTGCATGCTGTTAAATAATAAATTCTCATGTACTCGAATTTTGTCCAACAGTATATACAAGTTTTAAATCAAAATTCTGTTTTCAAAAATGTAAAATGGTTTTTTAAACACTAGATTTTTAAAATAAAGACAACATTGCTATTTTATGATTATTTTGGCATTTATTTTTATGCATTAATGTGGATGAATTATCACATGTTTTCCCTTTGAACACCAAATTTTAGTACAAGTACTAATACACGTGTATACAATTCATATAAAGAATATAATGAATTCAAATTCAGTGAATTCATAATATGTTACTAGATATTGTGAAAGGAGAGTAAAACCGGCACATAAGTGTTTGTCCCTAATGTATAATAAACTTGCCATAAAAGGTCAACTTTCCTTATTAAGGTCTTCCGTTTCCAACGGAAGACCTTCTACTGATTCTGTTGGTAAAGATTATTATTCTTTTTTTTTCTTCTACTTCCTAGAACGCCAACTTTGAGGCCTCATATCTCACTCATTTCTCAACGGATTTCTCTCAAATTTTCAGAGGTTATAGACGTTTATAAACTCTATCAGAATAATGACTAAAATTTCAAAAAGTCACTTCCGGTTTTGAGTTATTCCCCTTTAAACGAAAAATCATAGGCTTTCGTTTCCGGATAAAGGCTCAGAGACCACAAAAGCTGGAGCAGACATTTTACTTGTTTTAGATAACAGAAGGATTGAAGTTGTGCACATTGGTTTTTGTTTTTTGATTTCTGCATTCAAAATGGCGCTATATTGGGGTCATAAATTAGAACGCCTAAAAGAGCGAAAATTTACAGATATTTTCCTTTTTATCTTGAAAACTAAAAATATTTTGTTAAGACATGTTGAATAAAAGTTGTGCATAATTACAAGCGCTTTCACTTGAAATCATTAAAAAGGGGCTGGCCCCTAAAATTAGGGATCTAGGGCCCTTGAAAGTTTTTGTTTAATATCTCAAAAAGTATTGAGAATTTATAATACATCAAATAAGCAAAGTTGTTCAAAATGTCAAGCTTTATTTAATGAGGTTGTCAAAATACGTCCGAGGACGTCACTTCTGGTCAAACCGGAAGTAGTCAAAAATTGCATATTTTTGTTGTTCTTGACAGGTTTTTGGATATCATATGTCACTGGAAGCTTAAATCTTAATTTCCCGTCCGTTGACAGTACTTCCGGTTAAACCGGAAGTTGCCAAAAATGGCTTGATTTTGCAACAATGAACATAGATTTGGAGGATTAAACCATTTTTCGACTTCATTACTCTTTTTTTTTACAAATGAAAGTTACTTCCGGTCAAACAGGACGGAAGACCTACTCGTTGCTTTGCAACGAGCTCGGCTCTAGTTTATGAAGCAATATTTCTTCATCACCTCCATACGAGATTTATAAAGAACACAAAGCTGATGTGACTGGTCGGCAAGGTATGTTCAATCCTCCCTTGCACCCGATCCCACCTTTGATGTTTTAGGTCCGTGTTTGCTTTGCTCCCGATGTGTATTGCTTGAATTTACTTTTGAGTCTGATAATTGTACGTCATCTCCATATATTTCATGTATAGTTTTTTTTTTTTTTTTTTTTTTTTTTTTTGTTTAGAAAAAATCATAACCACAATCAAAACATCAAACATTAAGTAACTTGCCTGTTTTGCCAAATAAATGATATAAAATAGTTACTAAAAATAATGAACTTCCCCTGCTTTCCCTTAGGAATTAGATTATTGAGTTAAAACTTAACGTAGAACCTACGTCGTATGACATCATATCTTGTATATGTGTTTGGTCTGTCTTCTTGGTGCTAGATCCATTATAAAGTAAAAATTAACTTAATGTTACCTATTCCCATACTTTTCAGTTTCAATAAATTTATATAGAAAATAAAGCATTTTACGAGTCAAACATGTGTAAAAGATTGTGTGTAAATTGTATGATGTCTATCATGAAATACTGTGCATTTTCTTTCATAATTATTTGTCAATTACTCATGTGCATTTATAATGTTTTCCTAAAATACTATCTTTTTGAATTAAACGATTGCAATTTCTGATAAATATATACAATTGTAACCCTAAACCTTCATTTAATAATTAAAACCTGTGTGAGTGCAAAAAGGCCAAGAAAAGTAGCATTGGTAAATAACCTATCTCTCCTTAGTTTTCGGGGAAATATATATATTTTAATCAAATTTTGTAATCATTTTGGTATGTTCTTCATCGTATATACTTTCCTATATCTTACATTTATTGCAGTCACGTCCCATCCATCCTATTCGACATCCCTCACAATAACCAGTTACATGATCACAATAAGAATTTCTGCATCGGTCTGAACATTTTCTTTTACATTCAGCTCCATAAAATCCAGCTACACAAGCTTAAAGAGACATTATAACTGTTTAAACACCAATGGTAATCTAACAACTACCTAACATATTTTAAATGTGATTGCTGAAACAAGAGTATCAGCAGTCTCGTTTATAGTCATCATTTATGCGCTCTATGGTCTATAAAATAACCCTATCAAAAAATACAATTTAACATTCTGTCATCGCTGACTGACGTTTTTCATATTTATTGTTAGTCCATTATTTATTTATACACTGAATTGACGACGGATTTTTGCCATTATTTCCCGATCATGACAAGGAGCACACGGCGGATCGACTGTGAATGCTCACTCCTCTATGGCAACTGATCCTAACTCTAGTGTTTTGGAGGTCCGTGTTTGCTCTGCTCCCTTTTTGTATTGTCTTATGAACTTTCAATCTTGAATATTGTTCGTTATCTCCATATGTTTCATTATTTAGTTACATGCTGACTTTTTTCATGCTAATTGTTCGGCCATTATATACTAACATAATTGCCGATGAATTTTCCCGTTAATTCCCGATCATGACAAAGAGCACACGCCGGGTGTAACAGGTCGGTAGGGTATGCTCACTTTTCTATGGCACCTGATCCCACTTTTGGTTTTCTGGAGGTCTGTGTTTGCTCTACTATAATTTTGTATTGTTAAATGGACTTATGAGCTTTAATACTGTTCGCTGTCTCCATGCTTGTCATTTCAAACGTTTTATCAGAATAATGATATAACTCGTCCGCAAAATAAGAATGCAAATTATAAATTGTTTAATGTTTCAACATACATAAGCTACAAATTTACCATTTTCTTTTTACTTTAGAATACACTCTGTGCTTTTTCTTCAGTGTCAAAGGATAAATACTAGTTTTATCATTTTGGCAGACTCAAAACCTCACTATCTAAGTCTTACCATCAAGACACTGTTCTCCGATCCAACCATCAGTACATCCAACACACGTTCCATTAGTTACGTAACACCTTCTTTCCTGGCAATTTGATGGACAGGTTTCATTACAGAAACTCCCATAAACATAATCCAGTTCACAACCTTTAAAACAAATATATTTGTCTTTCAGAAGGTTTTTTTCACTTTTGACTATTTTAAGGGCAACAATTAATATGGTATACAGAAGAGAAAAAAATACCTTGTACTATAACTTCACACAACTGTGTATATGTAATCTTATCGCCCGGATAATGCACACCATGAACTCTTTCGTTGTAGAAAATTACGTATCGTCCAAAAGAAACACATATATGAGTAACATTAAGATCAGGTAGATCTGGTCCTGTATGATTGTAACACAGGTAAGCCTCGTGTAGGAGACTGAAGGCTGTACTGTTAGAGATGTACAGTTTGTATCCATACATACGTTCTCTTTGTCGTTGTTCTGTTTTACAATAAAGAAAAATATCTACACATCCCACATTTAATGATAATTAAGACGTTAAAGTAATGTTTATCAGATAATCCTTTACACCACAATTTAATATTATTTTTCCTACAAGTTTAATGAAACGATAAAGATAAAAGGCAAAGAATTTCAGCAGTTTGATTTCGGCCATGCAAGTAAAACAGAAATAAAATTTCTTTTTAAAATCTTTTTTTACTAAAATATGAACATGATATGTTGACTAACATCAAAAGACGTATTTTTAAATTAGCCAACCATGCATATGAATAACCTTTCCAGAAATTTTTTCCAGGGGGGTCCACCCAGTCAAAAAAAATTCCAATCGTTGTATGGGGTCGTAGTCTATGACTTCTATTGCCTCAAATCTATCATTTTTCATACCCATATAGGCATATACCCATTTCACACAAATTCGCGTTTACCGGGGGGGGGGGGGGGGGGTCTGCATTTTCCAAGGTGGGTCCAAGGTAACTTTTTTCTTGCTTTAGCATATAAAGTTAATAACCTTGCTTATTCCAAGGGGGTCCTGACCTCCCCCCCTCCCCTCTAGATCCATGCATGCTTTCTTACATGCTTATTCTGCAAAGCAAAAACACCTTCTGGTCATTATAAGTAATCTGATTTATAATGTTCATTTGGCTAACGTGGCCAATGTATGTAAATCAATCAGATTTTTTTCATATAGTCAATGTACATTCGCTGATATGCAAAGTATCTTTTTCATTTAGATATAAGACATACACTATTGCTTGCAATAGCAGACTCTCTAGTTTTCTGATTCTGATTCTCAAAATTACATGCATAATAATAGAACAATGAAAATAATTTATGATTTGTCTACACTATCGAAGACATGAAAGAATTTTCAAAAGTAAGTAAAAGTAGAGAGTCTGCTATTGCAAGCAATAGCGTATGTCGCCCCGAACTGTTCCCCTATTTCCATGGCAGCTATTGATAATTTCGGACAAGACTTTCATTTTTTTGTATCACTATAACAATACCCATAACCTAAGCTTGGACCACCATCAAATCCTATCAGTACTTTCAGTACTTTGATTTAACAATCAGAGTTAAAGAATTTTCACTTTCCTTTGGTTTACATGGCAATAATCGATTATTTGAAAATTTTAAATGCGAATCGCACAACTACAACTACTAATCAATAAAATAAAAAAAAGTTTCATGACGAATGATCAAGGGACCAGAGAGAACACCTGCGGATAAAATTCGTCGCTTTTTGCAGGTTTCCATGACAACGGTAGCCATTTTGAAACTGAATGACCACATGGCACAACTACAACCAGTGATCGTCCTTTGAGGAATGTTTCAGGAAAATTGTCTCAGCCATCTCCGAGAAACAATCTGGACAAAAAAAACCTACGTACAATCGCAATATGTCGCCCGACTTCGTTCGGGGCGACATGATTAATAATAAGGGAGTAAAGTTTTAAAATGTATCAAATAATTGTGGTTTTCCAAACAAACTACAATCATGTAAACTGTCAAAGGTTTCCAATTAAAGTACAGATCTGAGCAAAACATCCATTTATTTTTTTTTTCTCTAATATTAAAACATCAAAATTTATTTTTGTTTTGTATAATTCTGTACCTCAATTTGACTATTTACCACATGTGAAAATAAGAAAAAAAAGTAAATACAGCTAGGACGCATAAAAAAAATTACTAATATATACAAAAAAATTAAGAAATATAGAGAAAACTCGGATTAGCCAAAGTCCATTTCGTTGATCTATTTATGTTAGTTTGGTAAAAGCATCTTATATACCCTAAATGGTTTATGCAAATAGAAGAACATTTAAGTATCGCTTGATCGGATGAATTTTATTACTTACCATAGCTGGTACTATAAAGTCTGAAGTAAATCTCTACGTCGTATATACTTTTTATCTTTTGAAGATCTACATACCACCACGCTGGATTATATCTATTTTTATCAGTATCAGAGGCGTCAGTAGAGGAACAGGTGGACAGAGATCTGTCTACAGCATTTTCTGCCACATCCGTTATTTGACGACCTTGTTTAGTTGGTTTACGTGCCGATATATCGTCTGCTAAAGAAAATCATTTTAATGCTTAAATTCGGAAGCACGTGTTAACATTTCCAAAGGTATGTTTGATAAACTGTATGTTTAGGAATTATGTTAACTGATGAATACATTACTTTTAGCTGGGGCTGAAACGTGAATAGTTATAGTATCTATAAACCAGTTTCAAATATTCCATTTATCAGCAAACGTGGTGAACGTGTTGTTGTGCAGAAGCTTAAGAGACATCTCAGAGAGATTGCCTGGATGCTGATTTGCAGTCAGCTTATAAGACCGATGTTATAGAGTAGGATCCCCCTCCAGAAACTGTACACAAGAGTAGAATTCCCACTAAAGGGAAATATCACACAAGAGCCAAATTTCCCCCTCTTTCTTTTTCTGATGATCCCCCAGTTATAGAGTCAATATATAAAACAATCTAATTTTACGTATGTGCCAACCGATTCTAAATGTTCATCAAGGCACACTTATAGCTTTGATAATTTGTTTGCTTTCTAAAGGCCTAGTATTTCATCTAGAAATCAGTTATATTCAGAGAGAAAGTGAGAAATTTCTGTGGTCAGGTACAAGCAATTGATGAATTCCACATACCATTCTGTAAGTATTTGAGTCAAATAGTTCTTCAATGAAAAAAACAAAACAAAACATGTATAAATAATATTTATACATGTATTATTTTGTTTTTGTTTTGAATTAAATATATACAAGAAACATCATTTTCGCAAGCCGTTCTCTCGACCTCAGCAATATAATAATTGATTTGAAATCAGAGAGAAGACTGAGTATCATTATCCTCTATTAATGAATTTGCAAAATTTCAAATATTTGAAAATAAATGACAAATCTTTAGTTTCATGACAATGGCAATTGTAGTTAATTCGAGTATTTCAACATAAGAAGTTTGGAGACATCAATATCAATTAATGTATATGTTATTCGAAAATGTTATTTATTTCCTTTGAGTGAATTACACAGAAATCAAGTTCCACATGTTGTTACAACGAATCACTTGCTCGTAATTACACGCTTTTTATTCGAATTCCTGGATAAGATCAAGTGGTTCTCTAGAATGGTTCCTTTTTTGTTTTTACGGATACAGTGACAATTTGTCCGACCGATTACTACATTTTTTATTTTCATAAACCAGTTTGACTAGTTTAACCAGATGAAAATGCTTTATTTAATATTTTCATTTCTTGTATGATTCAATACATCTGGTCAACATTTTAAAAAAGGGACACTTATAACAATGTGTTGCCCCCTTCCCCTTAATAACATAGGAACAACCATTCTGTTTTATTGGGGGATTGCCTCAAGGGGAAATCACACTTAAAAACTACTACGTAGGGTAGGATTTCCCCCGGAAAATTTGATATGGTGTGGGGTTTCCAAAGGGAATATCCACTCAAGAGCCAGTTAACCGGGAGGATTTTAGAAGGGAAAGTCTACTCTATAAGACAGGTACCAGCAGTGCGATAAAAAGCACGCGTAAAAGCTGTTCTTGATGAAGGTGACGTCATGTTCCTAGTTCTTCTTGTCCTGAGTGCAAGGTACAGTAATATCTTAGTTACCGCATCCAAGCAGAGAAGATTAACGTCATTGTCCGAGGATGTGTCACTATCTACTACAGTACCCCATGGGTCTGCCCTCCATCCCTTTCTCTTCCTGTTGTACCTTCTTCCATTCAGGTACGTCATCGATCAATATGCCATAGATCGTCATGGATTCGCAGCTGAGACTGAAGTGAACAGCCACCTGGGTGTACAGAACACTGCGAAGTCAATATCATTGCGTGCGTCCGAACCTGGATAACTGCTTACAAAGTCAAACTAAACGATACACAAGAAAACATTGATGTTACCATCAATTGTCGCCCGGGAAATAAATAAAGTAAACAATGGAAATGAATCTTGATCATCAAACCGCTTCAATTTATGTGAAAAAGGCATGGCATGCGTCTAAATAATGGAAGCAATAGTCGAGAATATTTTGAAAAACTATAGTGGGATGAAAATCAAACAAAAATGATACCCTTTTAAACTTTACCAATCCCTCAAGTAAATGTTGGGTGCATGAATATAAATTGAAACCAGACACATGCATCACCTGGATATTAAAAAATGTATTTCACTTTAAGAATATAAAACACGAACTGTGTATAGTAGTTTTTTATGCGACATGTAAAATTCAATGTTCAAAAAAGGGACCTTAATTATAAGCAACTTTATATATTAAATGTTAAAAACATATATATTTTTACAGATTTACTTTATGGAAGTAAATATATTTTGTATCTCGTAATTCATAAAAGGAAGGAACATTGTGATTAACAATCTTTTTAAAGTTTACAAAACCTTTAATTCTGAATAACTTCTCCCAGCTCAATCCCCATGCACCAATATTTAAACTTATATGTATAGAGCAGCCCGGTCCTTCGGGCTGCAATAACCTGTGATTATGAGGATTACTATTGTCCATAACCTAACCGCGTGAAGAAAAACCGCCTGAAGGTTGGTTAGGTAATAATGAGACCCAAGTCTGTAGTTAAAGTCGGTACTGCCCTGGACTCCACCTCAATGGAAACACAAGTAACTTCCTTGGTAAGAAAGATGTACTTGAACATCAAATTTCTTCCTTGTTCTGGTTAAAATTATCAAAATGAAACGAAAGCAGTAAAACTAGCGATATTCTACTGCACATGTAAAAATGTATTAAAGAAATAGTTGATACAAACCGTATCCAGATGAGATATTCACACTAGAAAATTTAAGAAATAAAGAAATAAAAATAAGTCGCATATCTTTAACTTGTCTTTCGGAATTTTACATTGATAACAAAGTGCTTTCAAGGACAACATAATATTTTTAGATCAGCTGTCAAGATAACACTCTCAGATTTTTGTATCCATTAAAATCAATAAACATTTTTTTTAAAACATTGAGATATCAAGTCAGTGTAAGATATGAACATAGTTTAAAAGCCGTGATATCGCACAGAACATAATCAAAATCAAGCTAATACAATATGTATCATAACTGAGATTTTATATGGAGTAAATAAATTTGTTTTGAAATCAATTCATAATTTAGTATACGAAAATAAGGAATAGTTCATCATATATGAGGACACAATTTTCTATTCCCGCTACGCAAGTGAGTTATGGTTAGGTATAGACGTTTCTATGTCAATGACCTGCATGTAACAAAAATTCATAAGATGTATATCTTTTATATAGAGATAGTACCAGTCGTGGGTACCAAGTTTGTGTTAGAAAACAAAATTTTGCCTTATCTCACTTGCTTGATAATGCAGAGGTTGATTTCACAGCAAAAAAGTCCCCGGCGTGGGGCAGTGATGATAGTGTCATAGTGTGTGCTATAGAGTCGTAGAGTAAGAAGCTGATCCTTACATCGCGGTAAGAATTCACTACGGGATATGGAGATAAGTTCATGGATTAGACTGCATAAACGAGGTCATGTTTGGCAGTAGCTGTGTTTAAAGAGAAAGATTCCTAACTGCTCAATGACGCTACGTTTCCTCAGTTTGTGATTAGGGAGCATCAAGTTCGATCTTCGTTCAAGTGAAAGCCAAACCTAAGCTGTTAAAATATGTAATGATTGTTTCTTTACAAAGACCCCGGGACTGGAATGAAGGACGTAGGTCATAGTCATAGACTTCAAATTTTTTTTTTTCTTTATTTATAAGCAACTACATATTATAAGGTTTATTCTAAATTGAAAGTTAATGCATGCATTTGCTATAAAGAGTTTGTTCTGGTATCAATGAGCGAGAGATTACGATACACTTGAGGGGCATCTGTTGTTCGAGTGGCACTCAGGTCCTCATATGTATGATTTTCAAGATGGCCGCCAGATGTTGAACTTTGATGAGAAGACCCTCTATCACTGACCTCGTAGGAAGGCTGGTCATTTTCTTTCTTGTTCTCTTTCTTCCTACAGTGAGAAACGTCTTTCTTCCTACAATGAATAATGTCTTCGTTTTACTTTCTTATATTTTTAAAACTTTAATCATGTTAATAGTTTAAAAAACAAATAAAAAAACATATTCGTATTATTTTTAAATATGTTTTTACAGTATGCCTTAGTAAGTACTTATAAAACATGCAAAAGGAAATAAGCAGTGATTTTATTATAGACTAAACTTGATGATGAAATATTTTATATGGAATGTAAAAGCTGGAGAAAACGAAATATCCCTTTCAATAACTGTACTCTGACTTATCATTTTATTTTACTGCCTTTTAAAAAAAATTGACACATTTTAAATGATGTACTGCTTTATGCTAATATTGTTGTTTATATCCATTTGCAACCGCCACCCTCACAATTTTAATGGTTTAAAGTGTAAATGCTGGCTTAATTTTCATTTGATATAGTTTAAATATACCAATTATTGCAAAAACTGTATACATTGCCATATTATTTAAGATGGGGGACATAGATAAAAATAAAAAATATACATTTATGTTAACAGTATTACAATAATTATGTAAAAACTGGTTCAAATGCATAATTCTGATGCAGAAAGTTTCGAAATACTTGCTACTTATCAGAAACTTTTGAATTGTGAATATCAGGGAAATTATTTTACGTTAGAAGTTCAATAAAGAAAATGCCTGGATGAAGATACCTGAGAAGGGGTTATTGCCCTTGGCAACATTTTCTAAAGATTGTATAATTGATTTACTGAGTACTAAAGAAAATATACATCTTTTAAATACTTTTACAAAACAATATTTTTTATTACACTTGTTAGAAAGCATTCTTCCAAAAAAATTGTTCTATTGGGTATGAATTTAAATTCATAACTATTTTTGCAAAAATAATTTGATGGCATGTAAACTGAAGTACAAACGCTTCGACTTCACGCCTTAAGGAAATCATAATATAGTAAACTATTCCTAAATATCACCATAACTATCATTCTTTATATAATTTTTTACAAAACAAATGCTTTTCAAATTTTGAAGCTAAATAAGTTCAAGGACAGGGGGTACAATATACACACGCGTTACAACCTGATGATACATTGGATCTTCCGTGTGATACATCAATATGTGGCTTCACGGGATTTGATCACTTGACCAAGCAAGTATATTTCACAAGAAAATACTCATCTACACTCCAGTGGTACAAATAAGCATACCTGATGAAGTAAAGCACTAGTAAAGAGCAAAATCCAACATTGATCAGTAGGGAAATAACCAAACCCGTCGTCAATCCTGCAACGTTGTCTATTTGGTCACTGCAAAGGCTTTTCATATCTACTATGTAAATAACAAAAGAAATAACATGAAAATCAATTTTTGATTTTAATATTTGTTACTAGGGGAGGATACATACCTTTTTCTTTTTGGGGGAGAATTTAATCATAATCCACTTTCAGAAAAATTTTTATAGTATAAAAATTAATGTTTGAAATACAAAAAACAAATTGATCCTGACATTCCATAAAAAGAACCAGTTTTTTCGTATTTAGCTAATTTGCAATTGCCTGTAAAAATATACATTTGTCTAAATAACATTGAAGTATCTAAAGTGATGTACACATGTACTATGATACCCATACCAACAATGCTTTGTTCATCGCAGCGATTTCCTTGAAATCCGACACGGCAACCCCGAGGACAATTTCCATCGACATGGTAGCAGGTATCGTTGTTAAAACAGTTTCCACTACAGTTCTGTTCACAGCCTTTGCCATACGTGCCAGATGGACACACTGAAAATATGTGCTAAACAATGAACACGTACGTGAACATCGTTTCTGTACGTGCAATGCAAGTTCTTAGAAATTATATTACATTGCTCATCGTTTGGTCCTTTTTTATTTCTTTGATATATTCTGCAATGAAATCACGATTATTTTCCTCTTACATGTTATTCGTTGCTCAAATCACATTAAACACTTTGTATATTATGCACATATGTGTATCTGCAAACGTAATTGCTTGAATACATAGAGGATATCATTTAATATGTTTTATAAATTAGAATTTAAAGATTGAAAGAATTATAGAAGAGAAATACATGATATAGAATTTTTTATATTATTTTTATTTATTTACCTTGATCATTAATATTACTGATTATTTCTATTTCTATCATTATTTTGTACTACACGTATGTGTTTGTGGTTTAAGTGCAAAGTTAGGTTGTAGAGTAATTTGTTTAATTGTAAAGAGGGTCAACATGGACATGTATTCCTTTTGCTTATAAACTGTAACACATAGATCAAGCACGGTAACCATAAACACATTCATTCCTTCGGACATATAAGATATTTCGTATCAAATGAATATAGCTGGTTAAGGCATAAAGACTTAGATATGTCAGAAAATAAGACTTTAATTAATTTACTCATAAAACAATGGTCGCGTGTGGTCCGAATGAATTGTCATCGCATAAGTGCCAAAAAGGTCGACAAGTTGTGAAAATGCCATGGAAACCGGTTCTGAGGTATTAAACGGCCGCGCGTGCCCTAACAACCTCAGTTGCGGTTTTTTATTAATAAAACATCTTAACTTTTATACAACTTGTCTTCTTTTAAGGTACGTATGTCTTAATTGTATAAATATCTATCTAAGTATATTCATTATTTCAAAATCTATGTAATGCTAAAATTTGTTTACTTGAAACTGCTTTGTTATATTATTATGAAACAGAATTTTGTAAAAAAAAAAAAAAAAAAAAAAAAAAATTATTATGTTGAGTTGCGGTTTCTTACTAATAAAACATCTTAACTTTTATACAACTTGTCTTCTTTTAATGCCAGCAATTACAGAGGCTGAAGTCAGGTTATATAGCCATCCCTCACTAGCCAAGCGAGAGCCCAGCTCACACAAAATAAAATATACGCATTTTAATTATAAAATACATATTGTTTTTTTTTAATTGTAAAAATATGTTCATATATTAAAAAAATATCCCCCCTCTTTAATTGGACATTTTATTACTGTGATGACGTCATGACATGCACAATGAGTCTATTAAGAGCAGTAATTTATTAAAAGCTACAGTGGTAGGTTTTGTTGTAATTCAATATTCATACAAATCTAATAATATTAAGTACTTCATAATTGTGTGTTAAAAGAAGTTCTTATTCTTTTGCGCATTCACAGTAAACTCAAGAATACCATATTAATATAACTTACTTTCATTGGAATCATATCCCATCCATCCAGATAAACAACCCTCACACTGCCCAGTCACGTGATTACAGGAAGTGTTATTTCCACAATGGTCTGTACATCTTTTCTTGCATTCCGCTCCGTATTTTCCAGCTGGACAAGCTAATAACATAAATTGAAATTGTTTTAGACTTTTGTATAAAATAATACAACCCGTTAAAATGATATAAAATTTGGCATAAATAATAATCTGTGAAGATTCTCATTTTTCCTCAATTATGTGCACGTAATATTTTTTTTCTTTTAAAGATAAAATTAATCATTATTATTTGTAGTAGTTGGAAAAATTATTTTTGGTTTGTGCATTGATACTATGAACAGATGTTATTCTCAGTATCATTAGTCAGGTGTTCGCAATTTGTGTTTTACCCTCATAATTGTGCACTTAAACGAAGTGTTCGAGATTTAAATATCCCTGCCTGACAATCTAGTTTTTTTTTTAATAAAAATAATTTCTTGTAGGACAATTTGGAGAAAATCTTTAAAGCTGGGTAAGAACTACTTGAAATTCGATTTAAATAGTAAAGGGTTTTTATAAAATGATGAACATAGACTATAATGAAATGCCTTAGATGGAATGAGTTTCTGAATCTTACCATTAGGGCACTTTTCTCCAGTCCAGCCGTCAGTACAATCAACACAAG